TTGATTCATCCTTCTCCTCCTCTCTCCTTAGATCAGCTGTGAGCAGCTGGACTAGTGAATACTTCTCAGATGATGGATTTCACAGAATGTGAGAGTGCAGAGCAAGGGCCATTAATGCCTAATGAGCCTTCGTGGACACAGATGAGCCCTGCTCTTTTGACCTTCAGGACATGATGTAAACCTACTTGAGTAGGATATAACACTTTTTTTTTTTAATCCTCACCCGAGGACATTTTTCCATATTTTGTTCAGATAGAGTGGGAGGGAGTGAGAAAGAAACATCGACATGAAAGGGACACATCAAGTGGTTGCCACCCACACAACCCAACCAGGGCCGGAGACAAACTGCAACCCAGGTAACATGCCCTTAGTGGGAACCGAACCCGGGTCTCTCTGGACAGCAGGCCGACGCTCTAACCGCTGAGCCAAATAACACTCTTTAAAAATCAGAAGAGAGTCTGGCTGGTGTGGCTCAGTGGTTGAGCGTCGACCCATGCACCAAGAGGTCACCGGTTTGATTCCCAGTCAGGACACATGCCCAGGTTATGGGCCAGATCCCCAGTGGGGAGCATGCAGGAGGCGGCCCATCGATGATCTCTCTCACTGATGTTTCTCTCTCTCTCCTCACTTCCTCTCTCTCTAAAATCAATAAAGAAAAAAAAAAACTTAAAAAAAAAATCAGAAGAGACCCTCTGACTCCAGTGTATCCATTACTAAGCACCCCTTAGGATAATGAGCAATTCCACCGCAAAACCACAAGCTCTTAGCAAAGGCTTCCCCAAGACTCAAGAGGCAAATGAGCAGCTCCTCCCCACAAAACCATCCCTTATCACTGGCCCCACCCCTTCCTGTCCTTTGTCAGTTGCTGAGAGAGAAAGTCAACATGCATAAGTAGCAATTTTGCCTGGGTGTGGATTCTCTGAAGGTTTCCCTTGAAAGCAACTAGAGGAAATAAGAAATTGACACAGAAACATAACAAAATAAAAACCTCAAGGAGATAGACAACTGGAGATTTGGAGTGGGAGCTGACAGAAAAAATCTCTGGGAACAGTGGCCAATGTGTGGATCATCAGGGAGTCCACAAAAGCCTTAATTGAGAAGCTGGGAAAAGGAAGAGAGCTAATTTATGTTCAACTTAAAGTTGAAAATCTGGCCCTGGTCCACGTGGCTCAATTGGTTGGTGGCTCAATTGGTTGGGCGTAGCTCCAGGCACTGGAAGGTTGCTGGTGATCGGTCAGGATAAAGGCCTGGCTTTCCAGCTGGTAGGGGGTGTGCAGGAGGCAGAGATCCATGTCTCACTCTCATATGGATGTTTCTCTCCCTCTCCCTTCCTCTCTAATAAATCAGTTTTAAAAATAAAAATAAAGCCCAGCTGGTGTGGCTCAGCAGTTGAGGGTCGACCCATGCACCAAGAGGCCACCGGTTTGATTCCCAATCAGGGCACATGCCCAGGTTGTGGGCCCAATCCCCAATGGGGGCCTGCAGGAGACAGCTAATCGATGTTCTCTCTCATGGATATTTCTCTCTCTCCCTCTCCTTTCCCTTCTCTCTAAAATCAATAAAGGAAAATAAATTTTTTTGAATACGTAAATAAAAATAAAATAAAGTTGAAAATCTGGACTGAAATTTTAAATCACAGTAACAGATGAAAACACTGAGGAGCAAAAGTAGCTACACACAAATACACACAAGGTGTTCTATATGATTCTGCTCAGAAACAGGTAAAATTAAGCTATGGTGTTCAGCAGGCATATCTGAGTGGTAAAACTATAAAGAAAAGCAAGGTGATTACCATAAATCATGACAGGGTGCCTGGCCAGTGTGGCTCAGTGGTTTGAGCTTCATCCCATGGACTGAGAGGCCCTGGTTTGATTCCTGGGCAGGGCTTCCAGCTCGATCCCCAGCAGGGGGCATGCAGGAGGCAGCTGATCGGTTCTCTATCACATCAATGCTTCTCTCCTCCTCTCTCCAAAAAAAAAAAAAAAATCGTGACAGGGTTATGTGTAAGCCTCTGGGGTGCTGGCAATGTTCTATTCCTTGACCTGGGTGGTGGTGATTACACAAGTATTGACTTTATAACAGTTTGCTATGCATTTATATTTTGTGACTTTTTAATTTCACAATAAAAAATAAGCTAAAAAAGAAACAAAAATCGCCCTGGCCGGTTTGGCTCAGCGGTTAGAGCGTCGGCCTGCGGTCCGGAGAGACCTGGGTTTGGTTCCCGCTAAGGGCACGTACCTCGGTTGCAGTTTGTCCCCGGCCCTGGTTGGTCGTGCAGGTGGCAGCCACTCAATGTGTCCCTTTCACATCGATGTTTCTCTCTCTCTCTGTTCCTCTCCCCCCCCCCCCCACTCTACCTGAACAAAAAATGGAAAAATGTCCTCGGGTGAGGATGAAAAAAAAAAAAAAAAAAGAAACAAAAATCAATTTCGGGCTTTAGCAGTTTTTAACAAAGGACTAGAGCCAACACCAGAATAATTCATGCAAGAGAAAGCAAACATAGCTGTTTAAATACAAGGCACTCCTCTCCCAGCCTAATTTTATGGTTTGCTTTGGTGTGGAGACTCAAAGTCTACCTATACAAATCCATACTAGCAAACTCCATCTGCCTAGGATGATAAATGTAGCACACCTACCAACCAGAAGGTGTGGACAACAACACTACATCAGTGCTCACGCCTCCTTACTATTTATTGTTCACTGTTTACAGGGCACTCTCGCTCGCATACCATAAGTCAGGCCAGTGGCTGGGGTTATCTCCACTGTAATTAAAGAAGGCAGCCTCCACAATAGAAGGCTCACCCAAGTTCAGCTCAAGTAGGCAGCAGAAACCAGACCAGCCCCAGATCTCAGATGGCCACTTTCCCATTCCCAGGAGGAGGCCCCAATTGTTCCACGTAGAAATATGAGATGAAGAAACAAGTCAATTACTGTCCACATGAGACTACACCTCCTCTGAGTCACTTTCACTTTTCAATTAAAGCACCTACCAAGGTGAAAATTCGCTTCCCTCACTAGAACATAAACACCTTGAGAAGAATGGAGTTGTGTCCTCTCATTTCTGAGACCCCAGGGCTTCACAGTTTCTGGAATGTGCTCATTAAACATGTGCTAATAAGTAAATAAATTAATTCATGAATACACAGAAGGTACAAACTAATGAGTTTACAGTGTTGTTTTCCACCCCATATTGTCATTCCCACACAGTGCCATTTGCATTAAGACTTTTTAAAGCAGTTAAAATGCCAGGTGGTAACTGCCCTTTTAACAGATTGCCAATATATTTCCACTTCTTAAAGAAAGGTTGCATGTCATATATAAATTCAGAAGTGGAGAGGGCTGACAGGTTAATTATAGACACAAAGAGTGAGGACAAATGGACTATGAGGTAAGCGAGTCTAAATGTGCCTTCCCTGGACTAGCATTTATTAATAAGCCTGCAAAGATTTACTGGGCATGGCTAGGTTCAGCTCTGTGTCAGGCTTGGGGGCGGTGGTCCAGATAGGAGGAAGGCAGTTTCTGCACTTGAGAAATTCTGCGGAAGACAGCCTGTACTTGCAACAATCATTGAAGAGGTCCCCTCAGGGCAGCAGGTGGAAGACAGGGCCTAAGAACTGTGACACCTGCTTTGTTGGGGGCATGGAATGGTCAGAGAAAACCTCCTCAGTCCTGTGAGGCCCACATGGAAGGAAATGTGGGCAGACAAGTCAAGAGGAGGCCCCCAATTCTTTTCCTCCTGCACCTCCCACCTACTCCTTCAGCTGCTGGTGGCAGGGATTTAAGTCAAAAGGACCTACAGGGATCTTCCCCTTCCCTCTCCACCCTCACCTCCCTCCAAAAAAAAAAAAGATATTCAGATGGCTGGAGAGGCAAGTTTAGGGTCAGATTTAGCAAGTAGATGGGCCCAAGAAAGGAATGTGAGACCTTAAGGCAAGGTGTGGACACTTGGCAGTGCGTTTTGCTCCCTCTTTTCATTCAGTCAAAAAATACTTATTGGCTGCCTTTGTAAGTAAGAGGCAGTGAATGTGACGACTCTCAGTGGGTCATCGAGCTTGCCTTTAGCCCAGACTACATGATCACAGCCTGGGCCCCCAGAGTCTGGGTCTCCCCTCGGTTTCGGCTGTATTTGGGAGTGATGGGTCTGGTGGTCTCCGACTGAACCTGGGCCCTTCCAAAGAGATGAGGCCCTTCGAAGAATTTAATTATTCCTTTGATTCAAGGATTCCCGGGGTTTCGAAAAGTTCTGAGCGGTTGATAGTCTGGGAATGCCAGGAAGAAATATGGCCATGGCCATTCTCCCAGAGAGGGGGGTGGGGGTGGGGGTTGGGGAGAGAAAGTCCAGAAAAATTTATTCGGGTTTTTTGTTTGTTTGTTTGTTTGTTTCCAAAATTCCGCCTTTCCCAAAAAGCGTTAGGGAGGTGAGACCCGCCCATGGTTCAGGTCCAAAGAGTAAGAGACAAGCCCTTTCGGTTGTGTTTCAAGTTAATCTCACTCGCTCCCAGTCAACTTTCCACCCGCTCCACCTCACTTTACAGGTGGTCCGGGTGTTTCCAAACCACCTTCGCCACCCTGAGACTTGCGGAGAACCGAAAGGTGTTATGCACCCGTGTGCGGGGTCCGTGGGGACCCTCTTTCCCTCGCCGCTCGACAAAGCGCGTCCACACGCCGGGCCGCGCTTCCGGGGCGAAGGAACGAAAAGTGCCCCCTTCTTTCTCGCCGACTCGGTAACAGCCGGCCCCCAGGCTCGCCCCGCCGCGCCGAGCCCGGGAAGGGGCGGCGGGGGCGGCGGGGGCGGCGGGCCCGAGGCGCGCGGAAGGCTCAGCGCACGGTGCTCCCGGCGCACCTGGATGCGCCCGGCGGCCCCAGCTCCGTCCCCGGATCCCGAAACTGCCGTCTCGGACAGCGCCCGCGGGGCCCCGGCCTCCCCGAGTTTCCTCTGAGCCACCCCGCGCCCCAGCCCGGGGACACCCCGCTCCCCGCACGTCCCTGGCTGCTCTTACCCGGGAAATGGCGAGAGGCTGCTCGAAGTCCTTGCCCCCCACGAGACGGAAGCCCCATGGCCCCGGGCCCTGGAGGACTATTTGCTGGGTGGTCATGGCACGGCGATGGTGAGCGGCGACCCACGGGCGCACACGGGGACACGCGGGGGAGGACGCGGCGCGGCGCTGGGCTTCCTCGGCAGCCACCCGAGCGAGTGCGCGCGCCTCGGGCCGGGGAGCCTGGGGCGGGCGGGAGCGAGGGCGGGGGCGGCTCCGCCCAGGCGGTGGTGCGGCCTCCCGCCCCGCCCGGCCTCCCCGCCCAGTGTCCCGCCGAGGGTTAGGGACCCACCCGAGAGAGTCTCGAGTCTGGTGGGGGCCTGGTTCTCCAGCTCCGCCCGGACCCCAGCACCGCCGAGGGCGCTAGGGGAGAAGCCAGCAGGTTCCGACGGACTCGCGCTTGGCGCTTTTTAGAACGAGTTTAGAAGAGCTGTGCAAAGTCAACCCTCTGAGAGCAGCTCCATCTGCACAGTTGCTTTTTTGTAGTTGGTGATGATGTGCAAAAGGTGCTTTCGAATGATCTCATTTGATGCTGTAGAGCGGACTAGGCATCTAGCCCCATTTTACAGCTGATGTAACAGGGTCGGCCTGAGGTTAAAAGGCGCCCGAGGATACACAGCTCGCGGCTCCCGGAGCTAAGGAAGCCCTCACGGGTGCTTTTATAATGCTAATGAGACCACGGCACGTTGTTGTACAGTAATTGGAATTCAAAACCTTCCTAGAAACCTTTCCTCCAGGGGAGAGTTCGCTGTAGGTTCTGACCGGAACAGCTCAGACCTCAAGTCTGGGGCTGGCCAAGGGCTAATACGAGGAAAGGGCACTGGGTCAAGTGGGAAGACCTGGGTTCCCAGCCTGCCACTAGCCTCCCTCTGGCCTCCTGGCACCCTCATCCTTGAGTGCTTTCTCCGTGCCAGACCACACCATGCCTCACGCTGGCCACTGGGTCCCTGCTTCACTCCGAGTAAAGCCGAAATCCTTAAAAATGCTTATAGGGCCACCCACAATGAGGCCAACACCCTCTCTGACCTCATCTCCTCCAGCTGCCCCCCACCCTTCTCCGGGCTTCTCTACTTTGGCCTTAGGGCCTCTGGAATGCTCACCCGTGGCTCTCTCTTTGTTTGGATGTCATCATCTCTGAGCGCCCTCCTAAAACCTCCTCTCTGAAACAGTCACCTTCCCTCAGCTTGATTTTTCTCCATTGTATTTATCACCCTCTGACATGCTCCGTATTTTACTTAGTATTTGTCCCGCCCCCACCCTTAAGCATTAGTTCCATGGGGGTAGGGTGTTTATCAGTTTTGATTAAGGCTGTATCCCAGTGTGGAGAATAGTGCATGGCACAGAGTATTTAACATTGGCCGTTCTTAGGACCACTTACCTTCTCTGGGGTCCAGGTTTTTCATAGTTTTCTTGGAGCGCATTCATTGAGGCATCAGGGCCCTGCTCAGTGCTTGGCAGGGAACACATGCTCAATGTATGTGATATAGTGATTTATGAAACATATATATTTGGTCATTCAGATGGCCAAAGTATATTTCTCAGAAATATTTAGTCTTCGTCCACAGTTCCTGGCTCATAACTCCCGAAACCCACAAAATTCCCAAGTGTAGGAAAGATAAAGGTGTCTTTTGTTATGCGAATGAAGTGACTTTAGAAAGCACCTATGGATAGGGGCTGGTTGCCTGGAGAATCAACCACAGTGTTTAGAGGTTTAGAATTTTCAGTCCCACACTCCCCACCCCCACCTCGGGAGTGGGGAGGGGCTGGAGATGAAACCAGTCGCCATTGGCCAGTGATTTAATCAGCCATGCATTAAGAAGCCTCCAAAAAAATCGACTGACTATAACTCAGAGGTTCTCAAAACCTCTTGGGTTTGGTGAATTTGCTTTTGAGAGCTGCCAGGTTGGTAAACACATGGCGATGCGGGGAAAGTGGTGCACTTGGAAATGGCTTGGAATCTCTGCACACCGCCTCACAAGCCTTACCCTATGCATCTCTTCCATCTGGCTGTTCCTAAGTCATATCCTTTTACAATAAACCAGTGATGTAGCAAGTAACAGATTTCTGCGAGTTCTGTGAGCCGTTCTAGCAAATTAATCAAACCCAAGGAGGGGAGGTTGTGGGAACCCCTGATTTATAGCCAGTCGGTCAGAAGTACAGATAACTTGGACTTGTGATTGATTGGCATTCTGAGTTGGAGGGGGTCGTTGGAACCTCCGCTCTACAGCCAGTTGGTCAGAAGCCAGTTGGTCAGGTTTGAGCCTGGGCTTGAGGATGGCTTCTGAAATGTGTGTGTGTGGAGGCGGGCAGTCTTGTAGATAGTGTCAAAATTGAGTTGACTACTTGGACACCCTGCTGGTGTCTAAGATTGCTTGTTGGGGGTAGGGGAGTCCACCCCACATTCCATTTAGGTCCAGGAACCTAATTCAATCTATTTGTTAGAAGTGGGGCTCTGCCTCCCTGTGATCCTGGACTACCTACCAGGGAGCCCTATGCATAGATTACACATAAAGAATCATCTTACATGTCTGATTGTATCACAGCACAAATACCTATTTTTAGGAATGGTTTGCTTATATTTAGAAATCAAAGTGGATTTATGTTATCTATATATCCCTCCCACCCCCTAGCATTTCGTGAGTCTGAGAAAAAGGATTAGAGTTACAGCCAGAAACCAGCCTCCTGCTTCGTTGAAGCCCCAAATCCACCCACTTTGATTAAGATCTTGCTGATTAGAAAACATGCTAGTGTTTCAAGTCCCTGCAGAATTTGGAGGGAATCGCCAAACTTTGAGTCTGCCCTTAGATGTGTAGCAGTTTTGAATATTTTGTGTCCCAGAAGGAGAAAAAGGCTGAAAAGCCACCGTTTCTTCGCTCCCTGAGGAGGGGGCCTGCCTCTCGTGCATCCTCCTGTGTTCTGCTAGCATGGGCCTGCTATGCACAGGTGCCAACAGTGCTTATTCTACACCACCTTCTTTACAGACATGGGTACTAGTGTGCTTGCGAAGGCTGTGAGCTCTCAGTTGCTTCATTTCATTGTTAAATGTTCTCAGTTGCAGTTTGGATCTATACAGCAAAAGCTATAAAACAGTCAACCCTTTATCTCAGTCATCCCCTTTCTGGGCAGTGATTCCAAGGACATAATTTAAACGAAGAAAAAAAGCTATATGTACAAAGATATTTATAGCCACATTATTTATAATGACCAAAAAAAATCAACCAGTAACAGAAAAGTGGCTAAATATGGTATGGCCATATGAGGGAATAGTATGCAGCATGAAAACAATGACCAGAAGGACTAAGAGGAGACGGGGGAAATGTGTTTTCAGAATATGTACAAATAAGTTGAATAAGATTATTTGTAAACCAAATATTATTATTTGTAAAATTTATGTTAAAAATGGCCCTGCCAGTGTAGCTCAGTGGTTGAGCTTCATCCCATGCACCAGGAGGTCTCTGGTTGGATTCCTGATTGGGCGGGGCACATGCCTGAGTTTGGGGCTCCATATGTGGTGGGGGGCATTCAGGAGGCAGCTGATTGATGTTTCTCTCTCCCTTCCTCTCTGTCTAAAGAAATCAATAAAAACATATTGTTAAAAGTGAAAACTATGTATTCTTAATGCTAAAAATTTGGAGAAAGCACAAAAACTAACATTGTATTGGGAGATGGAATTGGGGAATTTTAAAAAGAATTTCCTCTAATGATCATGTAACATTTTCAAAATAAATAAATAGAATAAAATGGCTTCAGCTTCTTGGATTGGTGACTAAAGGAGTCTTTCTGTGGGTAGGAAATCTTCAATCTTTTTAATCTCCTCTAACAGCTAGCTCCGAGCTGGCCACACAGCATGTACTCAGAAATACCTAGACCCATTGACAGCTCAGACCCCAGAACACAGCAACCCAGTCTTATTTTAAACACCAATACTGATTACCCCTACTCTCCAGTTTCCTCAGACACTTGACTCCTGCGGAGGCCTTAAGCAACCTCTCTGGACTTCAGTTGCCTTGTTTTTATTATAGAGCATTCCATAAAATTTTGTTGACCTAAACAGTCTCCACTAAATATCTGGATATGGGGGAAGGGGCTAGTGGGGAAGCAGGAGAATGCTGGAGAAATGGCAGCGAGGAGGGCAGGAGAAGAACAGAGGAGTGGTCCAGGAAGTCAGGGGGGACGGTGGGTCTTTACAGCTCTCAGTCCAGTTTTACAAATGCCCAGATTCCCCCAGTCTGGCTTCTGCAGAGCTGGCAACCCCCCCGCCCCAGGGTGCTGTTGCCAGGACCCCCCAGGGCCACTATGTGGATGGAGACAGAGCGCAGGACTGTGCTAGGCTTTACATATGGTTTTATTTAATCCCCGGGTCCTGGACTGGCCTAGATGCTGCAGAGCTCCCATCCCTGAAGATCGCCACCAGGGCCCCTCCTCTGAGGCTGAGCGGTTCTGGCCCTGGCCCAGGTGGGAGCGTAGGTTACTCCCAGACGCAAAGTCTACGCTGGGATTTGAGGCCGGCTCTGCCCAGCGGCAGAAGACCGCCATAGTCGCTGGCCGGGTGCACAGCGACTCCCACGTCCCCAAAACGGTGAAACTGCCCGGGGCGCCCTGGTCAAATGACCGCCGAGTGACATGCTTTTTTTCTGTAAAAAGAATGAAACCTGAGCTCAGAGGCTCGCAGAACAAAAACACCTCCCCACCCCCACCCCATCCCACCGGTCCAGTCCCATCCGATCCTCAACCCTGCTCCCAGGGGCAGCGCGTCCCTTACAGGGACCCCACGCGGCGGCGCGCTCAGCGCCGGCGGAGGGACTGCTCGGCTGTGCCAGGGACCGGGCAGGAATAGGCTCCCAATTTTTGCTTTTCTCCAGCTTCCGGCTCCAGCCCAGAGGAAATCCTGAAGTGGCCACTGGGGATTGGGCGCCTCTCAGGTTCCAGGCGGCACAGAGCATGCAGCTTGGCGCTAGGACCACAAGGACGCCTGTGCACCTGACCTGGCTGGGGTTCCCTGGGGGCTGGTCAAGCTGTGGACGGATGAGCTGTTGAGTCCAAGGCCATGTCCCTGGTAGACAAGAAACTGAGGCCAGCCCCAGAGTTGAGGCTGCGTTACCCACATACCTCCTGGCCCCACTGGGCAGGTGGTACCTGAGTCCTCAAACGCAGAGAGAGCCAGGACAC